AAACTAGACGTTATCATCTCGGGGTTGCTCTCAATGACAGACGCGGTCAAATACTAGAATTGTGAATGCTTTTCTCTATTTACATATTTAGTGGTTTTCTTCTAACATACGCTAAATCAACATTTATATCCAACAACGGCTTTGATACGAATGACGTCTAGAATCCACCAATAATTGTAATATTTCAGCGATGAAACCTACCAAAGCAGGGTCAGACACGACTTCAGACAATGTTGCTAAATATAACTGCATGCTGCTCTATGCGGCTGTTGGGGATGTTTGGTTCTGCTTGCTGTTGTATACTGATGTTTGGTTCTGCTTGCTGTTGTATACTCATGTTTGGTTCTGCTTGCTGTTGTATACTCATGTTTGGCTCTGCTTGCTGTTGTATACTGATGTTTGGTTCTGCTTGCTGTTGTATACTGATGTTTGGTTCTGCTTGCTGTTGTATACTGATGTTTGGTTCTGCTTGCTGTTGTATACTGATGTTTGGTTCTGCTTGCTGTTGTATACTGATGTTTGGTTCTGCTTGCTGTTGTATACTGATGTTTGGTTCTGCTTACTGTTGTATACTGATGTTTGGTTCTGCTTGCTGTTGTATACTCATGTTTGGCTCTGCTTGCTGTTGTATACTGATGTTTGGTTCTGCTTACTGTTGTATACTCATGTTTGGCTCTGCTTGCTGTTGTATACTGATGTTTGGTTCTGCTTACTGTTGTATACTGATGTTTGGAACTGATTGCTGTTGTATACTGATGTTTGGTTCTGCTTTCTGTTGTATACTGATGTTTGGTTCTGCTTGCTGTTGTATACTGATGTTTGGTTCTGCTTGCTGTTGTATACTGATGTTTGGTTCTGCTTGCTGCTGTATACTATGTTTGGTTCTGCTTGCTGTTGTATACTGATGTTTGGTTCTGCTTGCTGTTGTATACTGATGTTTGGTTCTGCTTGCTGTTGTATACTGATGTTTGGTTCTGCTTGCTGTTGTATACTGATGTTTGGTTCTGCTTGCTGCTGTATACTATGTTTGGTTCTGCTTGCTGTTGTATACTGATGTTTGGAGCTGATTGCTGTTGTATGCTGATGTTTGGTTCTGCTTGCTGTTGTATACTGATGTTTGGTTCTGCTTGCTGCTGTATACTATGTTTGGTTCTGCTTGCTGTTGTATACTGATATTTGGAGCTGATTGCTGTTGTATGCTGATGTTTGGTTCTGCTTGCTGTTGTATACTGATGTTTGGTTCTGCTTGCTGTTGTATACTGATGTTTGGTTCTGCTTGCTGTTGTATACTGATGTTTGGTTCTGCTTACTGTTGTATACTGATGTTTGGTTCTGCTTGCTGTTGTATACTCATGTTTGGCTCTGCTTGCTGTTGTATACTGATGTTTGGTTCTGCTTACTGTTGTATACTCATGTTTGGCTCTGCTTGCTGTTGTATACTGATGTTTGGTTCTGCTTACTGTTGTATACTGATGTTTGGAACTGATTGCTGTTGTATACTGATGTTTGGTTCTGCTTTCTGTTGTATACTGATGTTTGGTTCTGCTTGCTGTTGTATACTGATGTTTGGTTCTGCTTGCTGTTGTATACTGATGTTTGGTTCTGCTTGCTGCTGTATACTATGTTTGGTTCTGCTTGCTGTTGTATACTGATGTTTGGTTCTGCTTGCTGTTGTATACTGATGTTTGGTTCTGCTTGCTGTTGTATACTGATGTTTGGTTCTGCTTGCTGTTGTATACTGATGTTTGGTTCTGCTTGCTGCTGTATACTATGTTTGGTTCTGCTTGCTGTTGTATACTGATGTTTGGTTCTGCTTGCTGTTGTATACTGATGTTTGGTTCTGCTTGCTGTTGTATACTGATGTTTGGTGCTGCTCGCTATTGTATACTGATGTTTGGTCCTGCTTGCTGTTGTATACTGATATTTGGAGCTGATTGCTGTTGTATGCTGATGTTTGGTTCTGCTTGCTGTTGTATACTGATGTTTGGTTCTGCTTGCTGTTGTATACTGATGTTTGGTTCTGCTTGCTGTTGTATACTGATGTTTGGTTCTGCTTGCTGTTGTATACTGATGTTTGGTTCTGCTTGCTGCTGTATACTATGTTTGGTTCTGCTTGCTGTTGTATACTGATGTTTGGTTCTGCTTGCTGTTGTATACTGATGTTTGGTTCTGCTTGCTGTTGTATACTGATGTTTGGTGCTGCTCGCTATTGTATACTGATGTTTGGTCCTGCTTGCTGTTGTATACTGATATTTGGAGCTGATTGCTGTTGTATGCTGATGTTTGGTTCTGCTTGCTGTTGTATACTGATGTTTGGTTCTGCTTGCTGTTGTATACTGATGTTTGGTGCTGCTCGCTATTGTATACTGATGTTTGGTCCTGCTTGCTGTTGTATACTGATGTTTGGAGCTGACTGCTGTTGTATACTGATGTTTGGTTCTGCTTGCTGTTGTATACTGATGTTTGGTTCTGCTTGCTGTTGTATACTGATGTTTGGTTCTGCTTGCTGTTGTATACTGATGTTTGGTGCTGCTCGCTATTGTATACTGATGTTTGGTTCTGCTTACTGTTGTATGCTGATGTTTGGTTCTGCTTGCTGTTGTATACTGATGTTTGGAACTGATTGCTGTTGTATAACGATGTTTGGTTCAGCTTACTGTTGTATGCTGATGTTTGGTTCTGCTTGCTGTTGTATGCTGATGTTTGGATCTGCTTACTGTTGTATACTGATGTTTGGAGCTGCTTGCTGTTGTATACTGATGTTTGGTTCTGCTTGCTGTTGTATGCTGATGTTTGGTTCTGCTTGCTGTTGCATGCTGATGTTTGGTTCTGCTTACTGTTGTTTGCTGATGTATGGTTCTGCTTGCTGTTGCATGCTGATGTTTGATGCTGCTTGCTGTTGTATGCTGATGATTGGTTCTGCTTGCTTCTGTATACTGATGTTCGGTTCTGCTTACTGTTGTATGCTGATATTTGGTTCTGCTTGCTGTTGTATGCTGATGTTTGGATCTGCTTACTGTTGTATACTGATGTTTGATTCTGCTTACTGTTATATGCTGATGTTTGGTTCTGCTTACTGTTATATGCTGATGTTTGGTTCTGCTTGCTGTTATATGCTGATGTTTGATTCTGCTTACTGTTGTATACTGATGTTTGATTCTGCTTACTGTTATATGCTGATGTTTGGTTCTGCTTGCTGTTGTATACTGTACGTGTCTGTTACATGTGGGCCAGATACACGTAGGTAGAGACAGCCATGGATATCATGTATAACACAAACAAAATCCTTTACTTATCCAATAGTGGTGATACTTAATGTTTTAGTTTGTATATTTGAATAACGAATATTGGATAAAGATCAGGGGAGTTCGTTGATCCCGAAGTTGTCGACGTATCTGAATGTCCGGGTGGTATGTAAATATATCAGTGAGTATAGGCGGTCAATTGCTGCACGAAGTGGACAAACATGTGTATGACAGAAACTGCCCGAAACTTCGCTGAATATAAGAAGGCTGTCCAGAGTAAAGTTACATACCCCTCAATATATTAACCATCATCAATTTGACGTCATTCAGCTGGTATCACATTCGAATGATCTGTGCAATGAAGGGGACGTAACTGCGTAAGCTGATTGATTACCATTGATTTCCGCGAGACACGTGTGACCCCTGGGCAGTGTGATGGATGTATAACAGGACTGATACGTCTTTGATGATACGTCAACTCCATTCAACCGTGCTCAGCAGGGCACCGGACTCAATTTGTGGTCAATTCATAACTGATAACCACGGTAATACTATACTCATCTCTTATTCGTGAGCTGAGTCCAACGTGACCCCATCACGTGTCATTTAGCATCAACTTGTTGAGTATATTAATCGCAGTTTTATGTCGGGCAATGTATCGTTTATTTCATGCAATGAGTCTTCAAATGTCCACCAATTTTCACTATAAAGGAGCAAATGCTAACCAGGGCAGGACAGGGCGGCTCTGATCAAGGCAGGGTGGGTCGGGGCAGGTCAAGGTGATGTGAGTCAAGTCAGGGCGGCTCGGGTGGGGAAAGGGTGGGACGATGCAGGGCAGGTCAGGGCAGGTCAGGGCAGGTCAGGGCGGCTCGGTTTGGGGCATTGTAGTGCAATGCAAGGCAGGTCAGGGCGGCTCGGACGGGGCATGGTGGAGCGTCGCAAGGCAGGTCAGGGCGGCTCGAATCGGATCATGGTGAGGCGATGTTGGGCAGGTCAGGCCGGCTGAAGTCGGGGTATGGTTGGGCGATACAGGGCGGGTCAGGGCGGCTCGAATCGGAGCATGGTGGGGCGATGTAGGACAGGTCAGGGCGGCGGAAGTCGGGGTATGGTTGGGCGATACATGGCGGGTCAGGGCGGCTCGATTCGGATCATGGTGGGGCGATACAGGGCGGGTCAGGGCGGCTCGAATCGGATCATGGTGGGGCGATACAGGGCGGGTCAGGGCGGCTCGAATCGGAGCATGGTGGGGCGATGTAGCACAGGTCAGGGCGGCGGAAGTCGGGGTATGGTTGGGCGATACAGGGTGGGTCAGGATGGATCAGGGTAGCTCGGGTCGGTGAAGGGTGTGGCGATGCAGGGCAGGTCAGAGCCCGTCAGGTCGGGTCGCATCGGAGCAGAATAGGGCGGTGCAGTACATTCGCGTGATTCCTCAATTGCGCTCGGGATGTTAAGGCATGTTATCAGCACTCCTTCAGTATCAACCATTATTCATAAACTCTTTTCATGAGTGTATTAACATAATACACTGTAATCATTATGACAAGGGATATAATGTATACGAATATATGTGTGTGATGTGTGTGGCACCTCTGACACGTGTGTGTGTGTATGTGTGTGTGTGTGTAATTAGGGGTACAGGAAGTGGACACCGTTTGCGCTTTTGAACCTTTACTTCAGACATATTTCGTCTTTCAAGGCGCCGCAATTCTGCTCAATTTTTGCTCATTTACAAACCAAGTTCGTCTATATTTTCAGGTTACGGACACATTGCCCCCAAGACAATGTACGGCCAGCTGGTAACCATGCTGTATGCCCTGATCGGAATCCCACTCACATTGCTGTGTCTCGCCAACCTCGGCAGTTTCATGGGAGACTGCTTCCGGTGTTTGTACAAACAAATCTGCATCGGTCTCATGTGGCTCTGCTGCCCACCACAAGCACGTGCAGCACGATCCAAATCATATTCCGCAAGGATACGATACCGGAAGTCAGGTGACTCGGAGGAAGAGAACCCTCTCCGAGGGAAGACTGTGGTAGAAGGGGAGGGGACGGATGTGGCTGTGATGGTTGAGGAAGAACAGAAGTCTCAAAAGGAAGACCCAGTGAGAGTACCGATGTTTGTCAGTCTTATGATAATAGTTATATATATATTTGGTGGTGCTTTGATATTCTCCAATTGGGAGGGGTGGGACTACCTGATTGGGTCTTACTTCTGCTTCATCACACTCAGCACGATTGGTTTCGGGGACTATGTCCCCGGGGCCGCTGGAGCGGCGGATGACTGGGACAGCCAAGAGAAGCTGATCATCTGTGCGTTCTACCTTGTGGTCGGACTCTCCCTTATCGCCATGTGCTTTAACCTGATGCAGGAGGAGGTGCGGGCCAAGTTTGCTTGGTTGGGGATAAAGCTGGGTATCCTGGACAAGGAATAGAGGATGGAGATTCCAGATCCTGCACCTGTTGCCTCGGGGATGCTACACGGGGTGATGGTTGACTAGGGGATGGTTAGACGGGGCGATGGTTGACTAGGGCATGCTACACGGGGTGATAGTTGTCTAGGGGATGGTTAGACGGGGTGATGGTTGACTAGGGGATGGCTACACGGGGTGATGGTTGACTAGGGGATGGTTACACGGGGTGATGGTTGACTAGGGGATGGCTACACGGGGTGATGGTTGACTAGGGGATGGTTAGACGGGGTGATGGTTGACTAGGGGATGGTTAGACGGGGTGATGGTTGACTAGGGGATGGTTAGACGGGGTGATGGTTGACTAGGGGATGGTTAGACGGGGTGATGGTTGACTAGGGGATGGTTACACGGGGTGATGGTTGACTAGGGGATGTTACACGGGGTGATGGTTGACTAGGGGATGGTTAGACGGGGTGATGGTTGACTAGGGGATGGCTACACGGGGTGATGGTTGACTAGGGGATGGTTAGACGGGGTGATGGTTGACTAGGGGATGGTTACACGGGGTGATGGTTGACTAGGGGATGGTTAGACGGGGTGATGGTTGACTAGGGGATGGTTAGACGGGGTGATGGTTGACTAGGGGATGGTTAGACGGGGTGATGGTTGACTAGGGGATGGTTAGACGGGATGATGGTTGACTAGGGGATGGTTAGACGGGGTGATGGTTGACTAGGGGATGGTTAGACGGGGTGATGGTTGACTAGGGGATGGTTACACGGGGTGATGGTTGACTAGGGGATGGTTAGACGGGGTGATGGTTGACTAGGGGATGGTTAGACGGGGTGATGGTTGACTAGGGGATGGTTAGACGGGGTGATGGTTGACTAGGGGATGGTTACACGGGGTGATGGTTGACTAGGGGATGGTTAGACGGGGTGATGGTTGACTAGGGGATGGTTACACGGGGTGATGGTTGACTAGGGGATGGTTAGACGGGGTGATGGTTGACTAGGGGATGGTTACACGGGGTGATGGTTGACTAGGGGATGGTTAGACGGGGTGATGGTTGACTAGGGGATGTTACACGGGGTGAGGGGTGACTAGGGGATGGTTACACGCGAAGCCATGGCTGACAAGAGGTACACTTGGTGGTAGTTCACTAGGGTGTGGACACACGTTGACATGGTTGCCTAGGGGCTGGTTGTTTACCTACTTTGGAAATAGGAACCTTTTGCCCAGTTAGAAGATTGCCTGAGATAGTGTCCATCTCGGACGATGTATACCAGAGTAAATGGTTACCAAGGACGACGCTTACCTTGGATGACAGTTGCCCTGGATATAGTTACCTGGCATTATCCTTGTCTCGGGTCATTGTTTGCGATCTGAGGCGATGGTTAATCCTTTTTGATTGGTTGAGTTTCTTGATGTTTACTCATTGTGAAGGAAAGTGATTCTTGAACCCAAATGAGAGGCGGACGGACATGTGAATACCACATGCGTTATACTGGATGGCGAAGACAGCGACCGTACAGAACTAGAAAAGGACAACTGAAGTGATAGTTTGAATATCACAGTGAACTGGTGTGCACAAGGAGCGAGGCAATAGGAAATTCTGAAGGATTCCAGATTAATAGATGACGTGTTAGGATTTGTGTGGAAAGAACGTTGTCAAACTGGTCGCATTTGCTGTTTGAACAGGTGTGTCGTAGAGTTATAATGACTAGTTGTACAGATGTAGATATTTGATATATCTGATAATCCATGATGTTACGACAAACTTTGGCACATATTTCGTCTACACGAGACACAGATTATCTGCCCAGAAGGTCACGTGGTGCTAACTTCCTTACATTGGAGTGCTTACTATTTTACAATCAAATCACACTATCACGCATCCGGACAAAACATAAACAGGATATATATTCGTGAGTACATCTGTAAACATGATATATCACCTGTATCCAACCTCCTTGTCTGGTATGATATCACCATGTTCCCGACCTCCTGGCCTTACATATGACATATGCCCGACCTCCTGTTCTTACACGATATCGCCCTGTTCCCAACCTCCTGATCTTACATGGTATATCCCTGTTCTCAACCTCCTGATCTTACAAGGTATTACCCTGTTCCCGACCTCCTGATCTTACATGGTATCACATATTATCGACCTCCTGATCTTACACTTTTATCATCCTGTTCCCGATCTCCTGACCTTGCATGATATCACCTGTTCCCGACCTCCTGATCTTACATAGTATCCCCAGTAGCCGACCTCCTGATCTTACATGGTATTACCCTGTTCCCAACCTCCTAATCTTGCATGATATCACCTCTTCCCAACCTCCTGATCTTGCATGATATCACCTGTTCCCGACCTCCTGATCTTGCATGATATCACCTGTTCCCGACCTCCTGATCTTACAAGGTATTACCCTGTTCTGGACCTTCTGATCTTACATGGTATCACCTGTTCCCGACCTCCCGATCTTGCATGATATCACCTGTTCCCGACCTCCTGATCTTGCATGATATCGCCTGTTCCCGACCTCCTGATCTTGCATGATATCACCTGTTCACGACCTCCTGATCTTGCATGATATCACCTGTTCCCGACCTCCTGATCTAACATGGTATAATTCTGACTATCTTTCTATTAATAGCACTGTACCGGCTAGAAGAAAACATCAATAGTTTATTTGCATTTGTGGTGGGTACGGTTGAGCCCTATGGACGTGCCAGGAAACTTAAATTCGTGGGTTCGAATCCCGGTTATGTTTCTAGGGTTGTCAGCACCATACTCGTGGTAAACGTGAAAGACCTGCATCACTTAGGGCACACATTGTAAGCTGACAGCGGTCATATAAGAGAAATACTAATTAATGCAGCATGACAATTTTAAATCAAACTCATTCACACACTCACGCAATGGGCAACTGAACAATGGGCCATAGTTGGCTGCCTATGCTGTATAGCTAATGTTGCGAAGGGAATACACATTGATGTAGAGTTACAACTGAAGGATGAAGTGCATTTGGGGGTCAAGCAAATAATCGTCAATGTTCATTCCAGGCGTAATGATGTCAACTCAAGCATAATACCATTATGATTTTGAATAAATCATCGCCACGACCTCCATTAACAGGGTGATATTCATCAGTTTACATGGCACCAATTCATACAGTTACCTCCATGTATGCCACATCAAACAAATGTCCGCTCTATCTCGCATTATATCATATCAAATTATTATTCGAATTCCGTTATTAATATGATGGGAAATCAGTATACAAGTGGATCTTTCAAAAAGGAAAAGTAATACTCTGAACTGCATAATATCAAAATCAGTCCCGACCTCATGCAATTTCCTTGAATGAATTTTTGTCATTAATTATACATGATAATGCATGAATGATCCCCCTTTTCCCCGTACATGGAGTTTGTTTGTTTGTTGTTTAACGCCGCACTCAGCAATATTCCAGCTTTATGACGGCGGTCTGTAAATAACCGAGTGATTGGCAACATGAGCATCGATCTACGCAATTGAAGATATAGTGACATGCATCAATCGAGCCTGATCACGCATTCCTGCTTGCCGCCTTTTATGACACAATTTTAACACGGATATTTACGGGTACCGTTCATGGTCGGTATTCCAGTCAAGGTGATCTCTGACTTGAAAGGTACCGGAGGTCACCACTGCCAACGTTAGTCCGTGGTTTGAAATCAAACAATGGCCACAAATAAAAGTATCGGAAACCAGCTATTTAGTCCATCTATATCGTAATATCCGTTTGCCGTTCATGACATCAGTCTCTAGCCAGACCTTGTCTCTCATGACATCATTCTCTATCTCGACCTTGTCTCTTCAGCCCGACCTTGTCTCTCATGACATGATTCTCTATCTCGACCTTGTCTCTCATGACATCATTCTTCAGCCCGACCTTGTCTCTCATGACATGATTCTCTATCTCGACCTTGTCTCTCATGACATTAATCTCTAGCCCGACCTTGTCTCTCATGACATCATTCTCTATCTCGACCTTGTCTCTCATGACATCAGTCTCTTGCCCGACCTTGTCTCTTATGACATCAATCTCTAGCCCGACCTTGTCTCTCATGGCATCATTCTCTATCTCGACCTTGTCTCTCATGACATCAATCTCTAGCCAGACCTTGTCTCTCATGATAACAGTCTCTAGCCAGACCGTGTCTCGCATGGCATCAGTCTCTAGCCAGATCTTTTCTCTCATGACATCATTCTCTATCTCGACCTTGTCTCTCATGACATCATTCTTCAGCCTGACCTTGTCTCTCATGACATCAGTCTCTAGCCCGACCTTGTCTCTCATGACATCAGTCTCTAGCCCGTCCTTGTCTCTCATGACATCATTCTTCAGCCTGACCTTGTCTCTCATGACATCAGTCTCTAGCCCGACCTTGTCTCTCATGACATCAGTCTCTAGCCCGTCCTTGTCTCTCATGACATCATTCTTCAGCCTGACCTTGTCTCTTATGACATCAATCTTCAGCCCGACCTTGTCTCTCATGACATTCTTCAGCCTGACCTTGTCTCTCATGACATCAGTCTCTAGCCCGACCTTGTCTCTCATGACATCAGTCTCTAGCCGCCCGACCTTGTCTCTCATGACATCATTCTTCAGCCTGACCTTGTATCTCATGACATCAATCTTCAGCCCGACCTTGTATCTCATGACATCAGTCTCTAGCCCGACCTTGTCTCTTATGACATCAATCTTCAGCTCGACCTTGTCTCTCATGACATCAGTCTCTAGCCGCCCGACCTTGTCTCTCATGACATCATTCTTCAGCCTGACCTTGTCTCTCATGACATCATTCTTCAGCCTGGCCTTGTCTATCATGACATCAGTCTCTAGCCCGACCTTGTCTCTCATGACATCAGTCTCTAGCCCGTCCTTGTCTCTCATGACATCATTCTTCAGCCTGACCTTGTCTCTCATGACATCAGTCTCTAGCCCGACCTTTGTCTCTCATGGCTTCATTCTCTATCTCGACCTTGTCTCTCATGACATCATTCTTCAGCCTGACCTTGTCTCTCATGACATCAATCTTCAGTACGACCTTGTCTCTCATGACATCAGTCTTCAGCCCGACCTTGTCTCTCATGACATCAGTCTCTAACCAGACCTTGTCTCTTATGACATCAATCTTCAGCCCGACATTTGTCTCTCGTGACATCAGTCTCTAGCCGCCCAACCTTGTCTCTCATGACATCAGTCTCTAGCCGCCCGACCTTGTCTCTCATGACATCAGTCTCTAGCCGCCCGACCTCTTCTCTCATGATATCAGTCTCATGCCCGACCTTTGTCTCTCATTACATCAATCTCTAGCCAGACCTTGTAACTCAAGTACCCCTTTCTTATCTAAAACAGTTCTTACGTGCAGATGATGAAACTATTTTTATACTAGAACATCCCTTACCCCCACACCAACGCGTACCCTGTGACCCCCAAACTCCCCCCCCCCCCCCCCCCCCCCCTCCCTCCCGAGTAAATTGTACATAGTCAGGAAACAGTGCCCTGTTAACGGTTACTGCAGCAACAACAGTGCCATGACGTCATCAACAAAGAATTCTCACGTGATGATATTATTTCATATTACACCAAAAACAGTCGTTATTCACGTGAAAATATGAAACACTGTAAATACTCACGTTTTTGTCCATGTGCGGAGTACTGTGGTACTATCATTCAATGACTGAAAATGGTCATATGATGTGACAGATTACAGTACGATGGGGTATATTTTACAACCATTTCTAATATTCCATCAAAGTGCGGCTGAATAGATTAAGCCATAACTTATTTTTCAAAGTATGCAATGTTATTATATAGAATATATCGTCCATCTAAAAGGATCATGTTTTATTTTTACTATTCGACATGTGTGTTGTTTATATCGTGCTTTACTGTTAGATATATATCACATCTGCTGGCTTTTACTCACACCAGCCTTGCCTCTTATCACCCAATCTCGTGACGTCATCCACGCTCGCATCCTGTGCATCTCCCGCCGTCATCTGTCGCTGTTGTTATTTGTTTAACTTACTTTTAGATGAAATGAGGTATTAAAAGCAATAAAAGTAATACTCTGTCACTTTTCGCTTTCGACGAATGAGAAATGGGTGTAGCTGGAAAAGACAACCAAGGGAGAATATTCAGGACAATATTTTCTCACCCAAAATAGACATTCGTTTATCCGAGAGATTTTGTTCTGAAAATTGTGTACGTCGGCCGATATGTGTAAAAGGTAACCAGCCACACTCACCCGAAATCACCCTTAAACCTCCCCCATCCTACCCTACCCTACCCCTCAAATCGGACCACAAGCCCATACACAATATTCCACACCTCGGGGATGCGGCCTCGCAGTAGGAGCTAACTAGTAAAACATATAGGATTGAACACAATGGAGAAATATAACCGACCTCATAAAATAAAGTTTGATTGATATCTGAACAATGAATGTTATTTAGTTTGCTGATTATAGAAGTGATGGTTACTATTAATGAGCACGATTCGTATTTTTTAATAGTCAACCACCTAGTACAAAACCGCGTGAAACAGAAATTTCAACCTATTTACTCTTACAATAACACACATGGAGCGCTTGTTTGTACATCTGCAGTGTGTGGTCTTGTGATAGCGTTGATCAATCAAGCAATATTAATAAACAGTCTTTTAAAATATAAACATTATTTAAATGAATTACAAGGAAGGTGATCGTTTCCCAACGTAGGCCACCAGAGTTGCGACCAAAAGGAATAGAACGTCTGAAAATTAAGCCTCGTTAATCCAGACTGTGCTGTGTCCAGGTCAATGGGATCCTCACTAGGGCGAGGTTCCGATAGCCCACTGTCTTGGTGCAGACATCTTATAATATCAGCTGCGTTCTGTCTTACAGTTCCGTAAATAATCAACAAATGTAGGTCCTCCCCTCACCGGAGTCAGAACATGCTTATGGTGTTGTACGTGTATGGATGTGTACGGCGCCAGGCTGATCGAATGTAGCATCACTGTCATACGGTTGTCTCCCTTGCTTGCTGATATTGAAGGTCAAGGTTACTCATCACACAGTCTTAATGTAGCATCAATCTTTCACAGTGTGTGTCTGAGTCTCCAATGTATGCTTGGCTGATTTTGAAGGTCAAGGTTATTGATCATAACTTAGGCTTGTGAGAACAGTGACTTTAGTCTTTATGTAGGATTTTGACCAAATTTGACAATAAAATTTTCTGGGTGGGATCACTATTTCTGAACATTTTGACTGACTTGGGTCAAAGGTCAAGGTCACCAAGGATCACATTATAAATCATAAGAAACAGTTATGCTAAGTCCAGTATCGATGAGTCCAATATGCCATTTTCAACATCGCAACATTCGTTAAAG